AGATAGGAGATAAATTCACAAACTTTTATTAAATCATTCTGGCATCCAAAACCTTCCATCAGTGCATTGTCAAGACAAACCAATGAGCCAGAGTAAATATATGTCGTAGGCATCGGGTGAAATCCGTCATTTCATGAAATGTCTAGGCATTACATGGAATGCCGGCAAAAACTGAAATATTCGTAGAAATACGGGCGTTACAGCGAATGCCTGAAAATTTTAGGCTTTTCATGAAGTGCCAGGCGGAGGCCAGGCACTCCCTGAAATGTGGTCAAAACCAATTGAGTACATTTGTTGCCTAGGCAAAGGGCTGGTTTCCGCGCTCAGCTTTGCGGGAAACCGATGCAAACGAGGTTGGGGTGGTCGGAACAGATCGCACTCTTGGCCTGAGAGAGGCGTTCCGAGAGCAGTCACTTTTTGGAGGGCAAGGGATGAAGCAGTGTGCATGCCGGGCCAGCGCCAAACAGTGCAACACCAAAAGGTGCAAGTACCGTAAGGCTGGAATGATGTGTACGAATCGGTTCCACGCAGCGCTCCCATGTGTCAACAAATAATAAAACAGTTCTGGAACCTTTTCTTTGAAAATGCGGTCTCTATAGGAGAGTTTCCAGACGATATTTTTTTTTACTGCCTATGGACCAACACAGTAGACCCCACACTTCAGAGAAAGCCGATAACTGCACAGTGTAATATTTGTGTACTAGCTAACAATAAAGTATAGGTACGCTGCGCTGCAGACGAGACGATCCGTGAAATATCTCGTAGTGTTAGCCCATTTTACACCAATACGATAATGTCCCTCCCCCTCCCGCCCGCCGGCGTGTATACTCGTATGCACACAACCGTCCGCGTACGAAAAGTTTTGTTACAGAGAGTGCCGGTCGTCTTTTGGGCAATCCATGTAAAGCCTAGGCAACGAGTGTACTCAGTTAATTTTGACCATATTTCAGGGAGTGCCTGGCCTCCGCCTGGCATTTCATGAAATGCCTAAAACTTTCAGGCATTCGCTGTAACGCGCCTATTTCTACGAAGATTTCAGTTTTTGCCGGCATTCCATGGAATGCCTAGGCATTTCATGAAATGCCGGATTTCACCCGATGCCTACGACATATATAAGCGGAAGCAAAAGCTTGCTTAAACCTATTGCTTGGGGTCTCTACGGAGTACGTAAACTGGCTGGGGGAGGGGAGGGAAAGGGAGAATCGGACGCCCTTGATCATGAGAATCGCAAGGCACATTTTGATGCGGTAAACGGCATCCGGTTACCGTAATCGTAAACTACATTATTTGATGCTTAAAAACAAAAAAGGCAAACGTTTGAGGATTGAGATTAAAAAATACCGAAAATCATATATATCGTGAGTGGCTTGAACGGCTATACCTTCCTTATTTTATTTATTGGCCGATTCGGTCCAGATTTTAAGACAAGCCTCTCAATGAGCATCGTAATCACAATCTTATCACTTTTCCGCTTTTTCAGGTAAGATAAAAGGCAGGCTTAGTAGGGGAGAGTGGAGCAAAGCGGCCACCCTAACGCTTCTCGCGATGCCAACGCTTGATTTTTAAACTTGGAAAGATTCTTTCTATACCAATGTGATCCCTATTAAGTTGCCTTTTATTTCAACTGCGTTTTATTTCCAAAGGCGTTCACATATGGAAGATATTGACAAAACTTTAAGCCTATGCATATTGGCCACTTTGCCCCATACCCTGGGGCAAAGCGGCCACCGGCGTCTTCTCAAGTCCCGATATGAGAAACAAAATAGTTGCCTCGTGTACGACTAGGGTATTTGATGGTGACAAGGTTTAAGCGAGGATGGACTGTTTGCTTTGTCAGCATCCCACTTGTAGGTAAACAAAAAAAGGATTTTCATGAAAAACATTTAATTGCATTATTTGGTAACTCATGCAACTGAAAAGTGGCCAAGATGAATGCATGACGACACATTTGAATATAAATAATGTTTTTTATCCAGATGGAAACAACTTATGGCCAATTGGGAGGTGGCCACTTTGCCCCGGCCACTTTGCCCCGCGCATACCGTCCGAGACAAAAATATTCCAGCTTAGCTATTAGTGGGGTAAAAAACATTAAAATTGGTAGAATACATGTACGATAACTATGCAATGCATGGACAAGAACGCTTATAAAAATTCCAAGCGGTTATGGAATAACATAACATTTAAAAAATGTAAACACAGTTGGTAATCTGGCAAGAAATGCTTTTCCGTGTTTCACAGAACAATGGTGACGGGCCTGAAACCCCGGTCTGGCTCATTCGAACGACCGTGAAGAGAAGTATAATTGGAAACCATAAATTGGAACTGACGCCAGCTATGAAGGGCTAAAACGATGGGTGGCCGCTTTGCCCCGGGTGGCCGCTTTGCCCCACTCTCCCCTACATTTCTTAGACGAGCTCTGATTTGAATGCTGCCGTAAAGGCCTTCAGAATCGGCTACCCCTCAGAGAGGTGGAATAAGCAGCTCACCTGTCTCGCACAGACCAGTCTCCGAGACTCCTGCTGCTGATCTGGTCTGCTCTGGTCTGGTCGGGTCTGGCCTGATCTGATCCGTTTAGCTCTGGTCCGGTCTGCTATGGTCTCCGGTCTCGCAGACACCTGTTGATGGTCTGCTCTGCGAGTTGCGACCCCTTCGGAGCCGGACGTCCCAGCAGCCCCCGAGCAGTCTGATGTCGTGTGGCACACCGCTCGCCGACCGAAGCCGGCCGCGGCTCTCCTCAGGATCGACGTCACTCGGGGACGACCAATCACCGTCGAGTGTGGGTGGCTGTGACGTCACTGGTAAGATTTTGTCGGAAATGTTGCGGAGCGGTGTGACACGGGCCGGACAGCTTCTCAATAGGGCTGTTTGAAAGTAAGGCATTAAATAGCCTCGTAAAGTGACACCCAATGGTGATGGCAGCCATAACGTGTGGTCACCAGTGCTGATGCAGTGTGCTTGAGTTATGGTCATAAACCAGGCCTGAACTACATACACCTCGGCTATATATGTGCAACGTCGGAAGCCATCGAAACGTTTTAGATCTTTCCGTTTTCGTCATCACTTGTCTGAAACTCTGAAGGTGTGACACTTACTAAAGTGCTAAATAATACTAAACAAATTACTTAAAAATAGCTTTGTAAATTAGACTTACAAAATAAGCCAATGCGGTCTTACCAAGCTCACGGTTTAGGTCAAGGCAAATGCTAGATCTGGTCACGTAAGTAGGTCTACGTTTTTAATGGCATAACATTACATAAATATGAAATTATGTGCTGCGCTCCCCATGCCCCGTGTCGGCCAGTGGGCTGGCGCCCTGCTCGGAAAATGAAGCGGGTTAATATACTGGAAATACTTTTAGTGGTCTTGAGGGCATAAGCAGTAGATATGCACTACCGAAGTATTTTACATTCCACGCGTTTATTACTTCCAATCACTAGTGTTGATGATTATGTTAACATCATGTTTTACTCTGTCCTTAGTTTTTGTTACCTTCTATGTCGCTACCCTACTCTCGCCTTGCCATCCAAAGGTGAAACTAATTCCATACATGTAGTGGACGTTAAGCCCGTCGCGCTGATATGGGACCTCAATGTGTCAGCGTTTGTCACCAAGTGTGGGGGTGTGAAATCAATAGCTCAATTGATTAGCCTACTTCGTACCTATTGCAGCGTGCGTACTAAGTAACCCACATACAGTGCAACACCCGTGCATGAATATTAATTGAGTCGTTTGCATGTGCCGTGGAGGAGTTTAACATTATCTTTCGCTTCCGCGTGAAGCGTTTGTAATAATTATTTGGTGATGGGTAGGTGTCAGGTGATGGGTAGTTTAGTTGAAGGTATTTTGGTTATTCTTGCATTTGGTGATCGAATTATCAACTTCTCTTCACTTGCCTAAAGTCGATTCGATAGCCGAACCGCTCCTCTCCCCTGCACAACGCTCAACAATTTCGAAGATAAGCATATATGTAATCAATATCATTTTTAATATTCAACAGAAAAGCTTAAAATATTGCTGAATATGATTACATATGGTTTATGATAAGTGTCCGAAACGTTTCATATTATTTAGGAGTTAACTTGTATTTGAATAATTTCGGGTCCGAAGTTTCGCATTGCATTTCACATAACAATTGAGCGCTCGTCGAATATAGCGACATTGATAAAGTGCTGAACTTATTTATTCATCACACCATAAAATAAATGCATGTTACAGTTCTCTGGAATGAAATCCAGAGTTTCACAGGTGGAAATACCTGCTGATTGGAGTGTGCAGTGCACTGTGCATCAGTTCATTTTGTATATTATTTTGGCGATATCTAATGCCATGGCATTGGCGCCTGCCGTCTACGCGAGACGTGATCATTAAATTAGCCGTAAGCGTTTTGTAACTCAGATTGAATCACATTTATCTTGTGCATCTAGTTTGCGATGGTTATCAGTTATCTCAGACACACGTAACTAACGTGCGACCGATCTGTCAATGTCATTTCTCCATTTACACCATCGCTATTCCTCGTTTGTTTGTTTGTTTTGTTTTGTTGGGTTAGGCCCTTTCGGTCGACAAGACCATTGCAGATCCGGAAGGATGATAGGAATTAGGGGGAGACATTGGTCTGGGCAGGCACCCTAGTGAGTAGCCGGGGCTGAGCCCGTCCAGAGGACAGGCCACCCAGCCCCAAGGCACTCACTGCACCCGGCTACGGGGTGCGCTCCCTCGGGAGCAGCGGTGCCGCTCCAAGGGAGCAGCCCGCATGAGATAAAGTTGCCTGTCCAGCCCGGAAGGGGGTTGTGGCGTGGAGGAGAAGGATTTCAGTATCCTGAGGATAGAAGCACGGATAGGTGACTATTCCTCGGGTAATTTGCGAACCAGTTTCGCTACATGCTGCACCGCTGTGCAAGTAAGTCCTGCGGCACAGCATCATCGCCTGCGCGCTTAGCCCACCATCTAGCGACAGATATGCACACTACTGTGTCGAATTTCACCATAGAGGCGCCTCTGTTTTAGAGGCGGCCGTAAACTGACTCGGTCGAGGGGTCAGCGCGGTTCGGGACCACGCGAGATATCGGCGCCGATCAGTCGAGAAGCGGGCAGCTCACGGCGAGTGGGGTGGTTACGGACGGGTGAAGTGGGAAGCAACTTGCACTAGAAGAAAGGGTGAGTAGTGACTAGCTAGTACATGCCGTAGTAGCGCGAGACGTTTTTCATTTTTCAACATATTTGAATTGTTATGTTTATGACTGTCTTTCGGTCCGATGGAGCTCAGGGAAGTCCCGCTATGGTCCGTAAGTGATGATGTGCGTTCGCACTCTGGCCGTTGCCGTGAGCGAGGGCAAGAAGGATGCCGGAAACTAGGTGACGGATGCCCGCTCAGACGCTCAGGCCTCAGTGCTTGCATATAATCTTAACTTTATCCTAAATTGTATTAAATATCATTAATATATTTATAATTTATTAGTTTTATTGTTGGGGATTCCCGATCAGGGTACTTGCAGTCGGCAACTGCGTCCAAATTTTGTGATGGATAGCGAGTGTATGACCCTGCAGTAGCCGCTGACTGCAGCTCTAATCGCCGTCCGTCCTTCCGCTTTTGGTTGAGCTGTCTTTCAGTGGCTGTAGCTATGCCGTCCCCTCTCCCCCTCCCAGTCTGTCTGCAGCCTACCCCTCCCCCGCCCTACGGGTGACCGTGACCGTCTGCACTCCTCCCCTCCCCTCCCCCTCCCCTCATTGACCGTTTGCACTCCTCCCCTCCCCTCCCCCTTCCCCCTCGTTGACCGTCTGCCCCTCCCCTTCTGCAGATGCCGGCGCCGCCGCCTCCTCTGCTGCGGCTCTACTCCCCGGTCCCTCCGGCGGGCCCTGTCCTGGCCGTAGCACCGCCCGACTGTTCTCTACGCTCTGAGCGCTGTGTTTACGTGGAGAGTCGCCGTGTACTGAGCGCTCGACAGCATGGAAGACTGTGCTGGCTACTGCGTCAGACGGCCACCGGCGCCGCCCAGCCGACCGAGGTCACTGACCTCCATCCACCGGCTGGACGGCATTCGTTCGTGTTCGAAATCGGCCCCAGGTGAGATGAGATCGGTCTAGAGTGACATCTGTCCAAACGCCCAGGTGAGATCACAGGTGAGGTGAGATCAGTCCCAGGTGAGATGACAGTCTACTGTCTAGAGTGATGTCTGCACTCTGCTCCCAGGTGAGATGAAATCACAGGTGAGGTGAGGTGAGATCAGTCCCGGTTGGGACCGGTCCCGTCATCACCTGACCGGAGTTGAATCGTAGACGAGTCCGGCGGGAGGCCACATCAGCCGACCGTGGCCTTACGAGCGTAACCTTGAACGGCGCTGCGATGTCAAATGACCCGAGGCCGATGCAGCGCAGCGCTCAGTGTTGCATCATTCTGTGGGGTGCATGTGTTGCATAATTTGCTGCACTACGCTGGTGATTCACGGACTATTACTGAAGGCCGGCAGAGCGTAAATAGCGCAACAACTATGCTATTAACAGACGGGAAATGGGGTTTGGAGGATTGAGAAAGGGGAGCCCGGAGCAATGAAGGGCAACTGGATGGAAACGATTTGACAACCGTCGAACGAACAGCGTAAGATGCTTTTAGTTCAAAATATTTGTAAGTAAGCATAGCTCAAAGGAAAATTATGGAATATGATCAACTTGAGCCTTCACGCAATAGGCGAACTGATACATGTGTCGTATCATCTCATGGCATTGGCACCCGATCGTGATAAAAAACGCTGTCGCCTTTCATATACAATCTCTTGAGTCTTGACATTGTTCTCTTCCACACCACCCTCACCTTGAACACGACCCCGTATCTCCGATCTCTGGGACGAGTATGGCCTATACAATCAAATATAAACAAATCAGTCCGGGCCGGGCTGGGCCTCACAAATGGTCCATCGAACATTCCAGACTCGCCGGCGGCCCGGTAACAACGGATCGTCCTATATATGGCCATGGGCTCGTCCGTCTGCCGACAGTGGGCTGTTGACACCACGTGACCGCCCGCGGCGCAGTTCACGCGAGACGCCCTGACATCACGTGACCGCCCGCGGCGGAGTTCACGCGATCCGCCCGTGTAACGGGGCGTGCACACGAGATCGTTCAGTGATCGACAGAACTACGGTAGCTGTGCGCTGCCGCGATATGTAAATGTTTATGGAAATTGGGCGCTATCTCATCCAGTACATGCACTCGCGTCTAAAATTAGCCCTCCCATAACTGGTGCGACGGGAGACAGGTTTCCTGACTGTATTACTTCATTTGTAGCACGAAATCAGTTCGTGATAGGAATGTAACGTTTTTGGACGGGTTATGCCTTGAATTAAAGAAGAGACACTTTGAAAAGACAAAGACAAGAAAGACGGAATGGGAATTGATATTAGACACAAACGGGAACAGTGAACACGAAGTAAGATCGCAGACGACTTTGGTGTGAATTTATTTTATTTCGTGTTTTACATAGCTATCTAGGGTCTACCTCTACCCAACAGTCAAACAGATAGGCGATGAAAATATTTATTACAATTTATTATATTTATTTTGCCACCTCGCTCCCCCCCCCCGTGTCTACCCCGTCTACAGGTACAGACGTAACTATTTGTGCGCCCCTGCTCACTGTATCACCTCCTGTCGACAGGCTGAACTTCTGCACGCCCCTGTCCACCAATGCCGTGGCCATCTGCCATGCGTTGGGGCTTAGTGACGTCACACGCGTGGAGGTGGCGCGACGGTATCAGCTGATCAGCGACAAACCGCTCAGTGACGTCATCAAACATAAGGTCAGTAAACTAACTAATTTTCTTCGAATGGTCAGAAGCAAACGATGGCGAGGGTTTGTCATCGCATTTGCACTTATTGACGAAGGTCGATAATGGCGTACGGAGTGGAGTCCAATGCAAAGAAGTCATGGTGCTGTCATAGACCGAGGAAGGCATGAGTGCGTAATTTGCTTCAATTTCCATGTGGACGTAGAGTGCCATTATGATTTCTGATTTTCTATACTAATGTGACATAGACAATGGGTGTTTGCAATGCGCATTCAAAGTATTGGTTCGCCAGTCTCCCTCTGAACTGAGCTACCAAATTGCTACCGCTTCCCAGAGAGAGTTGGCGACTCGCACGGCTTCTTTGCCGTTATCTGTAAACTGTTCGCCCGTTCGGCCCCGTGCCACAGCTTTCACCCAATAGCATACTCAAGCTAATACTCAAGCATACTCATTCTCAGCCTTGCCTACATACTCAATCTGTTCGTCCGTATAGCTCCGTGCCCCAGCTATCATCTAGGCATCACTAGTTCAACCCTCTGTCACCCTTGACCCTTCCATTTCAGATAATATCCAGCTGCCATGACCGTCTCACCGAGTGCTGCTACCCGGCGCCTCTCAGCTCGTTTGGCCAGCCGCGGCCCGCTGAGCCCTGGGGCGTCGTCGACGTTCTCGAACACGGCCGCGGGGCGCTGCGAGACGTCAACAAAAAGCTGGGTAAGGTCGGCGGTCGGTTCGGAGGTGATCCGCCTCGCGACGTATCCGGGATGCAGTGTTTCTTGCGTGCTGCAGAAACAGTGAAATGTTGTCATAGATTAGTATTGGGGTTCTGGCTATTCCAAGCATCATCAGGCATGGCATCGCTGAAAATCGAGAATGTATCCCAAAGAATGATTTTTTTTGTTGCTTTTCAAGTTCTTACCATTTCAATTTCAAAATTGTGTTATGAATGTGCATGCACTGTCATAGCTATGCAGTATGCAGGCGGTGTACTGATTACGGTTTTGCCATCACACAGGCATCAGATGAAATGACTGCATTTTTTTCAGGCCTGGCCTTTGACGACTGGGACCTGGACTTCTACAGCCAACTGTTCACAGAGAAACTGCGCCGAAATCCGACCACGGTGGAGTGCTTTGACCTGGCTCAGTCCAACAGCGAACACTCCAGACACTGGTTTTTCAAGGTAACTACCAGTTGTCGCCGGTTCATGTAGGATATTTGAGAAACTATTATGATTGAGGATGGTTTTGTGGCAGGTATTCACTCACTCGCAGTCACTTAATCTCTCCTTTTTTCTCCAATAATTTCATTCGGGTTCTTGCATTTCTCTCATCTTATCCGTCCTCTTAACCGTCTTCTCATCCGATCAATTCTCTTACATGGCTCTATGTTTATCTGCCAGGAGAATATGTTCAAAGTCGTATTATTTGCACCTTCTTTGGTCTCCCCGGCAGGGCTCCCTGGTGATTGACGGCACCATCATGGACAAGTCGCTACTGGACATGGTGATCGAGACGCAGAAACGCAGCGCAGACAACAACGTCATCAAGTTCTCCGACAACAGCAGGTAGCTGACACAGGATTTACAATTGTTGAGCGAGTTTGGTGGTGGCGTAATGCGACCTATGGAACTAACTATTTATTAGGTGCTTAACACAAATGCAAACTATTGAGCATTGACCCTCTGACCCGATGTACCCATTCCCTCGCTCTTCCCAGCGCCATTCGAGGCAGCCGAGTGACGGCACTGCGAGCGGTGGCTCCCGAAAAGGCGGCTCCCCTCACCGCTTCAGAGAGCTCTCGTCACATTGTCTTCACCGCAGAGACGCACAACTTTCCGACAGGGGTGTCACCCTTCAGGTCAGTGGAGGGGGCACAGTGGACAGTGGACAGTGGACGTGGATGGTGGACGGTAGGCGGTGGACGGTAGACTGTGCCTCTTACTCGATGTTCATTCGTCAGTGATCATTGTTCAATGATCAAAGATCAGCGCGATCGTTATTCATTGCTCAGCCACATCGGTCAGTAGTCAGTCTCCAGTGACCTGTATCCGGGTCGGTCTAAGGGTCGCGACTGTCTCGCTGACGTCATTAAAGGGCATTTACGTGAAGTGATTGGTCACTTTCTTTTTCTACCGGTAAGCTGCCAGCCGGACATGGCAGCGCCCTGAGCCAATCATTGATGGACGGATGTCCTTTCCACGTGGAGTCCGCAATTTCATCACTCAGCTCCTTTTCTATAGATGACCTTTTTCTAATCTAAGATTGTTTGATAATATAGCATACTGAATTAATATCCGTATGTATAATAGTCGAAGAAGCTTGACTGGAGCTCGTCAGAATTGATACGAATAAGTAGGGATCGGACCCATCACAGTATTCTGTTGTCGACCCGTATCCGCCACGCTCCCGCCCCTGTCCCGATTTCTGACTATTCCCCCCCCTCCCCCCCCCCCCAGCGGCTCGACCACCGGTACCGGAGGACGCATCAGGGATGTGCAGGCGGTCGGCCGCGGCGGTCACGTGATCGCTGGCACAGCCGGCTACTGCGTCGGCCAGCTGTTACTGCCCGGTACGGCACACTGTGCTGAGGGAGGGGTGGTCACGTGATCACCGGCTGCTGCCCGGTACGGCACACGGTGCTGGGGGAGGGGCGGTCACGTGACCACTGGGACAGCAGGCCGCTGCCCGGTGCATCACACGGTTTGGGGAGATGGAGGAGAAAAGGCTGTTTGAAGCTGGCGCCACCAAGTGCCTGTTGCCATTTATTTATACGGTACCGTGGACTATTTCATTTAGACTTTGTTCTGGCTCGGTGTCGGTTGGCGCTCTTCTGTCCCTACTTGGCACCAGACATATCAGGCTAATCTTTCCTCTTTCAGCGTATTAGGCTAACAGTCCCTACTTCTCTGGCCCCCTGACCCCAACCCCCTTTCCTCCCTCCCCACCAGACTACCAGCTGGTGTGGGAGGACCCGAAGCTGGTCTACCCGGCGCAGTTCGCCTCGCCGCGCCGGATCCTAATCGAAGCCAGTGACGGCGCCTCCGACTACGGCAACAAGTTCGGCGAGCCCGTGGTCAGCGGGTTCACTCGCTCGTTCGGTCTCTCGACTCCGGCCGGCAGGAGGGAGTGGGTGAAGCCCATCATGTTCAGCGGAGGAATCGGCTCCATGGAGGCCGACATGGTGGAAAAGATGCCGCCGGAGAAAGGTGGGCTGGTAGAGGGGAGGGGGAGAGAGAGAGAGAGAGAGAGAGAGAGAGAGAGAGAGAGAGAGAGAGAGAGAGAGAGAGAGAGAGAGAGAGAGAGAGAGAGAGAGAGAGAGAGAGAGAGAGAGAGAGAGAGAGAGAGAGAGAGAGAGAGAGAGAGAGAGAGAGAGAGAGAGAGAGATAGAGAGGGGTGTAGTGTATCGAGTACCTAGTGCATCGGGTGTCCGAGGCTCGGCATCGGGCCCCCGGTAATACGAGTGTGAGGCGGCCGCACCCTGCTCGGCTCCAGTCAGAGCCAGCAGTCGAGAGGCTCCGCCCGGCCGCACAGCACGGCAGTGCCTTAGTGTTTTGCACCGCGAGTTTGTGAGAATACATCGGAATCCGGAGACGGCGGTGGACACTACATCTGGCGACGAGGATGAGATCCTGAATACTACCGACGATGAACGTCGAGGGGGTGTCGCCGCCAACTCCGTTCCTGGCGAGACCAGGAAAACCAGCACTGCCCTGGAGTGACTGGATTTTCAGTTTCCACAACTACCTGACTGCCCTGGGAGGTGAGGCCTACAGCACGGAGAGGAAGACGGCTCTCCTTCTGCACTGTGTCGGCGCCGAGGCGCAACGGGTGTACCGTACCCTACCGGTCCAGCCGAGGAGAGAAGACGAAGACGAGTTCCATGCGGCTGAGCGGCAGCTCGCCGAGTTTTATGAACCTCAGGTCAACGTGATCGCGGAGCGGTTCTTCTTCCGGCAGCGACGGCAAGAGTCGCACGAGCCGACGGCCGACTACGTGGCGGCGCTGCGCCGCCTGGCAGTAAACTGCTCGTTTGGACAAATGACAGACGCAATGATACGTGACCAAGTCGTGGAAGCAACAGTGCATCCGATTCTCCGCGAGCGTTTTCTGCAGGATAAGGGCCTGACCCTGGACCGCGTTCTGGAGATCGCCGAGGCATTCGAGCGATCCCGACGCGAGGCGACCGCCATGGCCGGGCCGGCGCGGCCCGCCGCCGACGGAGCGCAGTCACTGCATCAGATATCTGACGCTCGTCAGCGCCGCGGGCGCCGGCCCTGGCGACCCGCCCGGCGGCAAGACGACCGCCGTCCCGCCCCTGCCCAGTTGCAAGCCGACCGTCGCCCCGGACCTGCCCAGCTGCAACCGGACACGTGCCCCAGCTGCGGTCGGCGCCAGCACAATGAGCGCGGTCGGTGTCCCGCTACCGGGGCCACGTGCAGGCAGTGTGGGCGGACGGGTCACTTTGCCGTGGTCTGCTGGTCTGGTGAACGGAACGACGACAGAAGGTGTCACGAGCTGACTGTTCTCTGCTGCGCCGTACCAAATACCGATAAGATGATGTGCGAAGTACAGATGGAGGTACCAGGTATCACGCAGACCGTGAATCTGCAAGTTGACACGGGTGCCACGGTGTCCGCTTTAGGACTCGGCATCGCCAGACGTCTCTTCAAAGGCAGTCGTCTCAATAGAACGTCTGCTCGTCTGTTCGGTTTTGGTCGACACCAGCTTCAAGTGCTTGGCACGCTGCCAGCGCTGGTGACCTACCGTGGACGGCGAGCCAACACAGAGTTCTTCATCATAGATTCCGACGGTGAAGAAGCCGTCATGGGACTGGACCTGCTGAAGCAGTTGGACGTAAACCTGCACCCCGCGAGTGGGGCAATCGATCAGCTGGCGGTCACTGGGAGCGCAGAAGTCCCGGAACCGCCACCGTCTCAGCCCGACCCTGGCGAGATATGCTCACTGACAATGGTCCAAGGCCACCCCGAAGAAGCGGACCTGCATGAAGACAGCTCCGCTGAAGAAGAGGTGATCGCTCTTCTGACAGATGAAGAGAGCGTGCTGACCGAGCAAGACGTCCGCACCGCGTCAGCTGCTGATCCTGAGCTGCAGCAGCTGCGTCATCAGATCAAGCGCGGCTGGCCGAGCAGCGCCAAGGCCTGCCCGGTTGAAGTCCAGCCGTACTTCAAGATGAGACACGAGTTGTGGGTGCGCAACGACGACGTCATCCTGAGAGGAGCCCAACAAGTTGTTGTGCCCGTTCAGCTCCGCCGCAGATACCTGGAGCTGGCGCACAGCGCGCACGACGGAATCGTCCGCATGAAACAGGCGCTGCGGAATCTGGCGTGGTGGCCCGGCATCAACCGTGAGGTGGAGGAGCTGTGCCGAAGTTGCGAGCGCTGCCAGCACAGCGACGCAGTCCTCTCCCAGCGCGCGCGCCCTGCGCCCATGCAGCCAGTCGACCTGCCGGACCGCGCCTGGTCGAAACTGGGCATGGATATCGTTGGTCCAATCAACGGAGCACCAGCGACTGCCCGTTACGCCATCACTCTGATCGACTACAGAAGCAAATGGGCGGAAGTCTGCCTGACGTCATCGACTGAGACTGAAGACGTCATCAAGTTCTTGTCAACTGTGTGGGCCAAAGAGGGCTATCCCGACGAGATCGTGACGGACAATGGGCCCCAGTTCACGAGCAGGGAGTTCACTGCGTATCTGGCCGCCCGAGGGGTGAAGCACACCAAATCGTCCGTCTACTGGCCTAGAGGCAACTCCGCCGTAGAGCGCTTCAACAAAACGTTCAAGTCGTGGATCACAGACTGTCCACCAGCAGCGTTCATTGACGAGGTACGCAAGAGCCTGGCGGTGTATCGAGCCACCCCACACACGACAACTGGGAAGTCACCGTCAGAGCTCCTGCATGGACGACAGATGAGGCTGAACCTGCCTGTCATTCAGCCGTCAACACCAGGAGCCGACAGTGTGGCGTCTCGAGTTCGACGCCGACAGCAGTCCAACAAGAGGTCCTACGACCGCCGCCGTGGCGTGACGACGCCGCGCATCACTGAGGGCGACTACGTCTGCGTGAGACGGCAGGGACACCGCTCGAAGACGTCCTGTCGGTTCACGTCTCCGGTGCGAGTCACTGGGCGCGTCGGTCCCGCAACGTACCGTCTGGCTGACGGCCGGACCTGGAACGCCGCCCATCTGGCCCGTCTCCCATACGCGCCGGCGTCTCCCTCCGCATCTCCCCCCGCTGGGCCCGGCGAGACCACGTCGACCGCCACGACTTCCGAGGCCGACGCCGCTGGCCCGCTGACCTCGCTCGCCGCTGCTTCTCGCCCGTCGACCGAGACAGCTTGCGAGCCGTCGCCGGACGCCGCCGATGTGAGCGTGCAGCGTCCCAGGCGAAGCGACCGTGTCTGTAGACGACCGGACTACTACGTGTCGCAGTGATGCTGTTCCTTTTTTTTGCGAGAGGGGGAATGTGTAGTGTATCGAGTACCTAGTGCATCGGGTGTCCGAGGCTCGGCATCGGGCCCCCGGTAATACGAGTGTGAGGCGGCCGCACCCTGCTCGGCTCCAGTCAGAGCCAGCAGTCGAGAGGCTCCGCCCGGCCGCACAGCACGGCAGTGCCTTAGTGTTTTGCACCGCGAGTTTGTGAGAATACATCGGAATCCGGAGACGGCGGTGGACACTACAAGGGGGGAGGGATGAGAGGGAAGCGAATGGGGAGGGACCGAGAAGGGAATATAGGAACAAGGAAGGGAACTGAGAGGATTCAGAGGGATGGGGATAATTACGGAGCGAGCGAAGCGAGCGGAGTCTCATACTGAATTAAGGGAAAATCCTGAGTATGAGCGGCCGGCCGGCCGGCCGTGGGGACGCTCTTCAAAAGCTAATATCTTAGGAACGGGACATCCGATTGACAAGCGGTCTTCTTTACTGAATGTCACTTGGACGTAAAAGTTCTGTGGTGTGATGGCCACCATGCGTTCTTGCCAACCACCGCACGTGGCGCGTGGTAAAGTTGGACATTTTTTAAGAACCCCCAAAATTGCAACCTTAATAACGGCACAACGGTTGGGCCGATTGAATTGAAACTTGGTACACAGTTAGGTCTCCATCAGATAATTCATCTGCATGTGTTAAGGTTGGGGTGCTACAGCACGTGCGCACGTGCAGGGGGCGCTCCCAGATCTCGAGGACGGCTGGGCCGATTGCGCTCAAATTTGGTACACGGTTGGGGACCAGTTAGTAGGGTGCCGTGCAAAAGTCAGTTTGGACCCCGCTTGCACGTGCGCACGTGCAGTGTGCCGCTTCCAGATCTCGAGAACGGCTAGGCCGATTGCGCTGAAATTTGGCACATCGCTAAAGACCGGTTAGTAGGGTGCAGTGCACAAGTTAGTTGGAGGTACCCCCTCGCAATTTCGCACGTGCAAGGCCCATCCTCTCGCTCGCTCCGTTGGTCGCCCAAAAGGCGTTTTACTGGTGTAAACGGAAGTAGGATGACTTTGCTTTAAAAGACATGCTCGTATGGAATAATGGAAACGTCTACAACGGCAGTGTTCACTAATCTGACTGTTTGTGACTATTTGTCTCTTCTGTCTGTTCATCGATTACCGTCCGTCTGATGTCTATCTCTGGCCGTTTATCTGTGTATGACCTTTTGCTATCGTATGTGAGGTGTTCGTGTGCCTGTGAAACTATATCCATCTGTGACCTATGTCAGACTCAGTGTCTGTGACCGGCTGACCGTCTGTTCTTTGTGACAGACATGTTGGTGGTGAAGCTGGGAGGTCCCGTGTACCGCATCGGAGTCGGAGGAGGCGCCGCCAGCTCCGTCCAGGTAATTACTCATCTGTCCAGACAGGCAATCACGTCTGCCGAAGCACACCTTAGATAGCCGGTGACGTCATCAAATGAGCTCAAACGTTAGGCACATGTTCAGGAAGTGGGATGGAGATTGAGACTTTATGGTCGCTTCTATTCAAATGCAACCGAGCAAATGCACTGCATTGCACTGAATATCCATTTCATTGTTAATGACAACGTCCAGTTCTTTCTGCTCACCATGTCGCAGAGTTCTGAAATGCACTTATCCAGTTAATCGCCGTTCCTCCGTTACTACGATCCATCTGAGTCACACTACAAAGGCTTACCCCGCACTTATGCCTCGGATGTAACACCGCCTCCCACTACCTCAGGTGCAGGGCGATAACGCCGACGAGCTGGATTTTGGCGCCGTGCAGCGCGGTGACGCGGAGATGGAGCAGAAACTGAACCGGGTGATCCGCGCCTGTATCGAGGCGGGGGAGGCCAACCCCATCACCAGCATACATGACCAGGGCGCCGGGGGCAACGGTGAGGACGGGGGGAAGCGGCGACGCCAGGGGCAACGGTGAGGACAGGAGGAAACGGCGACGCCGGGGAGGTCGTCATTCTGTAAAAAAATGTTTCAAACTTATTTCCTAATCATCCGGCCACTTTTCACTAACAAAATGAGAGTATGTACACTTCACTTTTCACTAACAAAATGCGGGCAGACTTCAGGTCTTCTCGCATCTTGTAAGTGAAAAGTGGCCGGATAACTAGGAAATTAGTTAACATTTTTACAATGCAATATCAGCGAGGTCGCGGGTGAGGGCGCTAGGGGAATGGTAAGGAGCTGCGGGGCCAGCGGAGGGCGGCACGGACGGACATAGTCGCGTAGTGCGAGTGTATGGATGGCCCGTCCTTCCCGGGTGGTTGCACGATTTTCTGTATCGGGATGGACGTGCCGGTCCGTGTCGACCCCCGGGTGGGGGTGGGGTGGGGTGGGGGGGGGGGGGGTGACACTATTGTTTGTGTCGAGTGGAAGGATCCAGTTCACTTCTCAGCTGATCTTAGGAAACATGTGTGTTTGTTCACGGGATCAGACTCGCTTTTCATTTGATCTAACGATATTGTAGCGCATTAGACTTATTGCTGAAATACTGGAAGCATTTCTCGATTGTCATATGCTGTAATCTGCTTACGCTCGGCGTGCACCGTTAATTATTTGTATATTATTTTGTGTGTACTCAGTCCATCAGCGTCTGATTGATCTCTGTTTTCCTATCCTGATCACAGGGAATGTCCTGAAGGAGATTGTGGAGCCGGCAGGGGCGGTAATTTTCACCGAGGAGTTTCAGCTGGGTGATCCGTCCATCTCTGCGCTGGAGCTGTGGGGCGCTGGTGAGTCACAACACATTCGGTACGACCGCATCATGTCCGACGCGACATTCTTATCTTGGAATATCGGGACGTCGCCGGATTTTATCAACAGTATTCAGATGCATCGGAGCTGAGAGCCTGTAGCTGAGTTTGCTAAATAAACAATATTTTCTGATGGATATAAGGTACAGATTTGTCTTGTTGTATGTAGCCAAATGCCAATAGATGATGCTTTGGCATTTTGATGCAGCTTACTCTCTCCTCCACTGATATTGTAAGTGCATTTTTTCTGCTTCATGACATGTTCTAGAAACCGAATGTTCTATACTTCGTCTGTATCCGGCTTTACATTCTTGTCTGGCATTAAAGTACTTGCTCCTCGTAATGGATGAGTTGACCACTGGACACTGACCAGATATAGGTATCTGCATGGAACATAATTTTACTTTTCTAGGTATAGGATAAGGAATGATCTTGTCAGATATTATTTGTCTGATGAGACTCATGAGAGTATGAATGGAACAATGGTCAGCTTTTTACATTTTTATTTTGTAAGATTAGCCCCTTTCGGTCTAACGAGACCTTTGCAGAGCCGGAAGGATGATGGGAACTAGGGAGACATGGGACTGTGCGGGCGCCCTGGTGCGCCGTCAGGGCTGAGCCCATCACGTGGATAGATCGCCCAGCCCCGCTAACGGTCACCCCAACGCACATGAGTCTGCTACTCACGTCGGAGGTGACCGACCAGTCCTTATCAGGCGGTTAGAGGCGTTGAGGGGAAGGATTTGACCGTCCTGTGGATGGAAAAGGTGATGATTGAAATGAAAATGGAAAAGAAAAAGGCTCATGTGATCGCACAACCAGCAACGAGCGATACAAGTAATTAGTTCGTATCTTTGTGTGTATGTGTGTGTGTTTTTTTTAGATAAATCGCTGCTAGACTTACCTAAACCCTATCCACGTTCGAGGAGACGCTCCTTCGAAAGCATGAGACGGTCTTCGAAAGTACTCCAAAGTTTATTTTTTTGTTTTGTTTTGTTTTGTTTTGTTTTGTTTTGTTTTGTTTTGTTTTGTTTTGTTTTGTTGGGTTAGGCCCTTTCGGTCTGACAAGACCATTGCAGAGCCGGAAGGATGATAGGAATTAGGGGGAGACATTGGTCTGGGCAGGCACCCTAGTGAGTCGCCGGGGCTGAGCCCGTCCAGAGGACAGGCCACCCAGCCCCAAGGCACTCACTGCACCCGGCTACGGGGTGCACTCCCTCAGGAGCAGCGGTGCCGCTCCAAGGGAGCAGCCCGCATGAGATTAAGTTGCCTGCCCAGCCCGGAAGGGGGTTATGGCGTGGAGGAGAAGGATTTCAGTATCCTGAGGATAGAAGCACGGACAGGTGTCAATGACGATATTTATGCGCGCTATATGTGTGCTGACGTGTTACAGAGTACCAGGAGAGTAACGCCATCTTGTGCCGACCCGAGTCGCGGCCGCTGCTCAGCGCCATCTGCCGCCGAGAAAAGTGTCCAGTCAGCTTCGTCGGAAAAGTCACAGGCGACGGAAGGGTGAGAAGTGAACGGCCATTGGTAGTCTGAGAGGCGCGTGGTAGAGGAGTTTAATTGGGGAGTGGTTTCTAAGCTTTAACAAAAAAGCACAGTGTGTGGTATGCATGACACAGTGCTAAGCGTTTTTTTTTTTTTTTTTACTTAGAGTTAACACTTCCATTGTGTGGAAACGCTGTGTGAGAGTCTGCGAAAGCTGGCAGCGTTTATAGTTTTGTCTCTGCTCTCGCGATGTCACAGGTGACGCTGAGGGAAGGACCGTTCGACGCGCCAGCCCCCGCCGAATCAGGTAGTGACAAAGGCGACCCCGTCGATCTCGACTTGGAGCTGATTCTCGGCAAAATGCCGCAAAAGGTGACTGATTGCCTTGTGTTGATTGGGTAGCAGACACTGCTTTCTGCGACAATGTAGCAACTCCAAGATAACTCAAGTCATGCTTGATGATATACCTGCACGCATGAACTTGCAGAATCTATAGAGTATAAATTGAAATTCATGGCTATAAACGTCACTCTCTTCCCCTGCCCGTCAATCTGTGCTGTTTCGCTTACAGGTATTCCAGTGCGAATCTCCACCGAACCTGGGTTCTCACCTGAGACTACCTAACGGTCTCCGGCTGCAGGAGGCTCTCAGTCGAGTGTTGCGCCTGCCATCGGTCGCCAGCAAACGCTTCCTCACAAACAAGGTAGGTGGAGAAAAAATCCTCATCTATCAAACAAAATGTTGTGCACTTGCAGTGTACGTGTAGAAAATCTTTCATGAACAAGCAGGGTGCCTGAAGCAGTATCCGAACGTGTCCGGAGATCAAGCAATAGAAAGGATGTCGACCTTTCTCGGAAAAGTTGTTCCGAGATCGTTACATTTTGTGTTCTGATCAGGGTTCAATCAACATTGATTGTATGTGTCATCATTGTTTTGCCGAACGGATTAGGGAAATGTCCCATTAGATATTCATTGTCTATCAGGAGCTGGTACGGCTCACCCCGCCGTGCTTTGACGCTACATCTGTTGACTGTATCTACTTAACTATTTTCTTTATCTGTTAACATGTCACTTTCTGACAGATGGACAGATCCGTGTCAGATCTGCGATGGGTTGGTGATCTCATGGTGCCTTAAATGTTGACAGACTGACCGATCTTTGACGGGTATAGTGATCCCTAGATGTGTTCTGTTGACTGCGTGACCCATCTGTGAATGGGTTTTTATTGACAGGTTGGCCGATCTGTGACGGGTCTGGTAATGTCTCTGTGTCCTCTGTTGACAGGTTGACAGATCTGTGACGGGACTGGTGACGTCTCTATGTCCTCTGTTGACAGGTTGACCGATCTGTGACGGGTCTGGTGATGGCTCTATGTCCTCTGTTGACAGGTTGACAGATCTGTGACGGGACTGGTGATGTCTCTATGTCCTCTGTTGACAGGTTGACCGATCTGTGACGGGTCTGGTGATGTCTCTATGTCCTCTGTTGACAGGTTGACAGATCTGTGACGGGTCTGGTGGCGCAGCAGCAGTGTGTCGGACCTTTTCACACACCTCTGGCCGACGTGGCTGTTGTCGCCCTCTCCCATTATGACACGGTCAGTGCCGCTTCGCACAATCTGGGGACGCGGAGAAAATAGTTAACGGTTGTATATCTGAATTTAGTCGTGCATTGGGTATCAAGGGACAGTTAACATTTTCGGTTTTCCTATTTTGCGCAGCGTCATAGTTTCGAGTGCCAGCCTTGATTCTCTTTAGCATGAGGTCCATTTAGCATTTGTTTTGAAATACGTCTCCAGCTCGCACCTCGCTGTGACTGCCGGCTGAATTGTACGTTTTATATTCCATCCACAGGTAGGCGCGGCCACTTCGATCGGTGAACAGCCAATCAAAGCTCTGCTGAATCCCGAGGCCGGCGCTCGGCTCAGCGTGGCAGAGGCCATCACCAACCTGGTGTTCGCACCAGTCACCAGTCTGAAGGTATGATCCATTCCTTCCCCGTCACTAGTCTCAGGAAATCACCAGTCACCAATTTGAAAGTATTTCCTTCCCTTCAACAGCCTTAGGAATGTTTCCTGCCCGCCAACAGTCTCAAGGAACGTTTCTACATAGGCGCGGGAACTACTTTCAGACTGGGGGGGGCACACCATAATGGAGATCAACCTAGGGTACCCCCAAATCTAGTTTTCTCACCGGTTTTAGGCCACTTATTTTTCAACCCTTGGCTTTTTCAACAAAAAAAGAAAAAACATTTGCAAAAAAGTGCGGTATTTCGTCTCAAAGTTGTGGGGGCACCGCCCCCACGGCCCTAGAGTTGGGGGGGCAAGCTGCCCCCACTGCCCCCCCGGCTCCCGCGCCTATGCGTTTCTAAAACATCGCATCGGTATATTTCCCGATTCCTCGCATTCGTGTTATGCGGCACAGCCTACATTCAGGCGCTTACTCCTGGCGCCACCTAGCGACGAAATTATAAGCTGAGCTTCAACCTCGTTGTCCAACTGTTGTTTAGAAAGAATGCTTGACCATTTTCTCAATGTTCTCATACTATTTCAGGAGGTGAAATGCAGCGCCAACTGGATGTGGCCCGCTAAGCTGCCCGGCGAGGCAGCAGCTATCTACAGCGCATGCGCGGCAATGTGTGACGTCATGGGTCAGCTGGGGGTGGCGGTGGACGGCGGAAAGGACTCCCTCAGCATGGCCGCCAGGGTCTCTGGCAGCACGGTCAAGGCACCCGGTACGGCACTCAAAGCGGGGGGGGGGGTGTAGGGGAGGGATTGGGGAGGAAATCGGACGGGGGATGGGTTGAGTGCTAGCAAGTAGCTACCGAAATCACAGCGGTCTGCTACTTTGTGAAAACAGGATTACATTCATATAAAATTTGCGTCATTATTATTGGATGAAAGGAATATTTGGCAGCTTTTGCAATGCGCGTTTTATTGGAAGGAAGTACATTATTCTCATATATATCATACTGACCCTACCTTTTGTATAAAGTGACGTCAACTTTCTAGGTCCGCCCGAAGCTGGCACGAGGGCTCTAGCTCCTCCCCTGTTGTGTCTGACAGACTTCCTGGTGGTCTGCAGGCGTTAGGTGGTCTTGGTCCTAACTCCTCCCCTGTCCCATCTCACAGAGAGTCTGGTGGTCTCGACCCTGACGCCTCGCCTGTCCCACAGTCTGGTGGTCTCGGCCCTGACTCTTCCCTCCTCCCTCTCACAGGCAGTCTGGTGGTCTCAGCCTACGTCGGCTGTCCGGACGTTCGTCGCGTGGTCACCCCGGACCTGAAGGTCGGCCGCGGGCGGCTGCTGTATGTCGGTCTGGGCGGCGCCGGCGGTCGACTCGGCGGCTCCGCCCTGGCCCAGTGCTACGGACAGCTGGGGGACGCAGTACCTGACCTGCACCAGCCCGAGCTGCTGGTGGCAGCCTTCGGGGTCACACAGGACCTCATCAACGGTGAGATTTCGGCAACGGATGGGAATCGATAATGAATTCAAGGGATGCAATCTGTAAGGGTAGGGATTTGAGGAATATGTTTCATAAAAGCACTAACTGTCCTGCATATGAAGGAGGCAAGCATTGTGTCGTGACCTTCCCTTATATAATTCACATCTGTTCAAACATCGAAAACAGAATCATGTCACATTAAAATGAGTTTTATATCTCTTGAACAGTGGACCAGGTAGTGCTCTAGCGATGCCTACATCCGACACTGTATGTTTCTCCTGCAGAGGGCGTCATCATGTCGGGGCACGACGTCAGTGACGGCGGTCTCATCGTCTGTCTCCTGGAGATGGCTATCGCCGGCGGCCGCGGCCTGGACCTGGCCTGGTCCTCCACTGACGTCATTACCTCCGGTGACGTCACGGATCCTCTGGCGGTGCTGCTGGCTGAGGAGCCCGGCTGGGTTCTGCAGCTGGAGGAGAGGGACGCCGCCCGGGCGGCGGAGCTGTTTGCGGCCGCCGGGGTGCCCTGCTGTAGTTTAGGACGGGTGACCGAGGAGAGGACGGTGACGGTGCGACTGGACGGAGAGCTGGTGCTGGAGACGGAGCTGGAACGAGTCGCCAGGGACTGGGAGGAGACCAGCTACCGGCTGGAGCTGCTCCAGGTTAGAGACAGGATATGGGGAGAGGCGAGGGGAACAGAGGGACTGGGAGGAGACCAGCTACCGGATCGAGCTGCGCCAGGTCAGGTAGGACAGGAGATGGGGAGATGGGCTGAATTCGAACTCGACTGAGGTCCTATAGGTCGACCTCAGCTGTATTGTTTTCATGCGTCTGCGCCTTCTGCTTTGATTCAAATCAACTATACCGCTATAATGTCTATTTAGGTTGTTACATCGTCATTAACCGCAGCTGCACTCGGAGCGCCAGGCTGACAGTGTCTATCGCCACGCAGGTGACTCCGTCCTGCGCCGAGGCTGAGTGGGAGGAGGTGGGCCGTCGCCAGCTGCCCAGCTACTGGATCCCGGAGCAGCTGCAGCTGCCCAGCGGGCCGCCGGCGCCAGCTCCGCCAGGTGGGTGACACACCGGCCAGGGTTGTTCCATGAGGAAGGAAAATGGGCATGGTAGGCACCAGTGTATAGAGAGGAGACTGCAGGACTCAGGAGGAAAGGGTAGAAGGCGGCTGTTCGTTTAGTTATGTTTTATTCAGTCGGCACAGCTTATGCTTGCGAGTTATATGCCCTCCTGCTAGCAATGTGGTCGGGGACTGACAGTGTTGGCGTTCTCAGGTGGTCCCCTGGTGGCCGTTATCAGAGAGGAAGGTACCAACGGCGACCGGGAGATGGCAGCAGCGCTGGACATGGCTGGATTCGAGGTGAGACCTCCTATACCAATATTACTGCTCCTACGGTGCTATTGAATGCTCACACTGCAACAATGGACGTGGCTTGACGTCCGCTATTCTAATCTCTCATAAATTTGTAGAAACTGCATAGTCGTCAAACATCATGACAATCATTGTCTGCAGCTCTGCTGTGTGTGCGAAAGGTCATGTCATAACCGCCATCCACTGCTGCATTTGTCGTGGATTTTAGGAATATGCTAATCCACTGTAATACTTGGCTCAAAAACGTTTATGTATAGAAGCGATGCAATAAACCTTGCACTTTTCCTTGGTCTTTGCATGGTGGAGTAAAATGAAATGTGATGTGTCAGTTCTCCTGGGCCGGCCTTCCCTGACATTATGATGTGTGGCATTTGGTAACATCTTCCATTTATACAGGTGTGGGATGTCACCATGACTGACCTGATGTCGGGCGGCGTCACCCTGGACCGGTTCCTTGGACTGGTGTTCCCAGGCGGGTTCAGCTACGCAGGTGAGGAATCGATCCGTTTTGATCGATACCAAATATCAGCTGTCCGATACAAAAATGGAAATTTGTGTCAGAAAATTGTTGTTTCCGGTCATGGCAGGAAAAGGAACACGGTAGCTCTGTGTCTTACGACATATAACACCCCACCAATCACCTGTAACCTGACCTGTGCCCTGACCTATGCCACGACCTAGCTGTGTCCTGACCTGCGTCCTGACCTGTGACCATGATCTGTGACCTGATCTGTGCCCGCTGGCGTAAAGCCATGACCTGTGCCCTGACCTGTGCCTTAGCCTGCGCCCTGACCCGTGCCTTGACATGCTCTGACGTGTGCCCCGACCTACTTACCCGTCTCTCCACCAGACGTGCTGGGCTCGGCGGTCGGCTGGGCGGCCTCCATTCAGTTCGAGCCCCGGCTCAGTGAGCAGTTCGAGGCGTTCCGCCGCCGAACAGACACCTTCTCCCTGGGTGTGTGTAACGGCTGTCAGCTGATGGCGCTGCTCGGATGGGTCGGGGGCGTCACGCAGGGAGGTGAGTGAGACAGAGGGTGGGTGATAGGATGAGGATTTGCGGAAGAGACAGCTGATGTCCGATTTATTCTTAACCCTCGCCGGCACAGGCCATTTTGAGTCCTTCGACGGCACAAGGGGGGGGGGGGAATAAGGGGTTGGTACGACCCCCCTCGCGTTTGGCCCCTGATCAAGCTAGAGCTTCGCGGAAAAAACGAGCGTGTTGCCCGTCACGAGAGGAAGCCGATGATACCCAATTTTAAGGTCCTAGGTCATCGGGTGACCTTCCAGGTCAGGTCAATGACCCGAAAACCGGGAAAATCGGGACCTGTTAGAAAGTCGTAAAGTGTGGCTGCTATGTGGTTTTCCGGGGTGCTGATCACGAATATCGTGTTAGTTTTGATCATAGATGATGTCTTTAAGCATTTAGACCAGGTCGGGTCAGGTCAGGTCAGGTCAACCGGTAGGGGTTGTGACGGGTATTCGTAATACGTGTCAACCGCCTCAGACAGCTTCGTAACATGTTACGAAGGCACCAAAACTACTTCGTAAATGTTCAAATGGTTGCTAAATTCGAATTCAGCTCCAAAAACTAGCCTAGAAACATGTAAAACTTGAAAAAGTGAACCGAGGTCACCAAAGGTCAATGACCTGACCTGACCTTCAGGTGACCTTGACACCCACCCTAATGCATGGGAGCAACATCAAATCACATGCTGATTATTTAGGGACATATTTGTGGTATGAGGTTATCGGTGGAGCCAACAAATAACTAAATGCACTCACTTGTATTACTTACTATTGTTCAAATCACATGTTTGAACGTTTGAAACCACGAAAAGCTTGCAAACGCGCGGCTAATACGAGCCGACATGCGCCGAACCGCGATTTCGGCCAAACATGGTCACAGAAAAGAGGTCACAGGTCAAAGGTCATTGGGGTCAGGGTCATGAAATTTTCAGGGTAAGTGTAAAATTGATGAATGCGAGGGTACTGAAAGTTTCGTCGCGATCGGCCGCTTTTTACGCGAGTTATTCGCGAAAAACCTTAGGGGGGTTGCATCAACCCCCCCCCCTGTGCCGGCGAGGGTTAAAGGCAACCCTTATAAAGAGCTTAAAACAGGATTTATCGTAGCATTCAGACGTTAATTGATGCATTAGTAGCAGCATAGTTCATACCATGCAATCATTTTTTTATTCGTCCTTTAGGTAATTGCAATACGACAGACAAGCTCTTTGAGATCGAACTATGTACCCTACAATATCCCATATTGTGGGATATAATATCCCACAACTTCTGCCACGTATTCATACTTTCAATATCATTGCTCGTTCGTTCCAGCCCCGGTCGCCGGCGTTAACGAGTCCAAGTGGAAGGCCCACCTCACAGAGAACGAGTCGGCCCGGTTCGAGTCCCGGTTCAGCTCGGTTCGCGTACCGCCCGACTGCCGCAGCCCGCTGCTGCTGGGTCTGCGCTCGGCGCGTCTGGGGGTGTGGTCCGCACACGGCCAGGGACGATTCGAGCTGTCCGGCGGGCCGGCTCACCTGGAGAGACTGAGAGGGGACGGTCTGGTGGCGATGGAGTATGTCGATGATGCTGGCGAGGTTACCGAGCGGTACCCGCACAACCCTAACGGTGAGTGACGCCGGGGGCCGTTGGGTGAATCCATGGGTGGCTTGTGCTGGTGATGGTGCCATGCATATGATGACGGATGAACTTCAGTGATTGTCAGATGTTCATGAAATACAAGCTTTTTCAGTAGTTTATTTTAACGCTTCAATGAAACATGTCACGTTTTTGTATGTCTTTTTCAATGCTACCATTGAACCGTTTTGGCACCTGATGACCTGAGATGACTTATTGTAACTCTGGGTGACCTGTAGTGACCTTTGCGATTTACTGCCGACCGCTGCTCTCTGCCTGTCAGACTCCCGCTGACCGCTGCTCCCCCTCCCCCAGGCTCCCCGGGAGGCGTGGCCGGTCTGTGCTCCCCCGACGGTCGCCACCTGGCAGTGATGCCGCACCCGGAGCGCTCCGCTCTCCGCTGGCAGTGGCCGGTCGAGCCGCCGACCTGTGCCGGGGACTCGTCATTCGCTCCGTGGTTCCACATGTTCACCAGCGCGTACCAGTGGTGTACCGAGCCGTCAGACAACTGAAGCAGCAGGTCAGCACTCAGAGACAGGGTGGTGAGCGGGTTACGGGGGCATGGGACCAGCGGTGACGTGATTTTGGGTCAGTCTGGGTGGTTAGTATTGTGAGTGGATGCGGTGGAAGTCAGGAGTAAATGTTACTATTGATACGTTGCGAGCAATATGGAAGTAACAGTTAATGTTTCTGGCGTTGATCGCCTGCTAGAGATGTTGGTTTTGTTATTCTGTCATGTGAAAAGTGGGCGGAAAATACGTTGTGAAAGGTTGTTTTGAATTTGCAGGCGTGTGCCTCATTTCTGATCAATATAGTTACACATTTCAGTGCGCTTGTGATCGAAAGCTCTTATTGCCTGGCCTTCTGGACGGGACTATAAGATATCGATGTACTGTCATTTTTTTTTGTAATGTCATTTAATATGGGGAACATGCACATAACATACTGGGATTGTCCATAAAAAAGCGTAATTTTAGCATGGAGCATTTCCTCAATACTGGAGTGGGTTTTTGTAAGTTCAGAGTAAAACGAACTGTTTAGTTATAGAAGACATAATTGAACACCAGCTATTACTTTATTTAATGGGAGCTTTCGAAAGCTATGCAGCTTTCTTCGTCAGCCTTGGTACAAAACACTAAAACAGATCCATATAAAATTGAACAGTAACTGTTCAAACATAAAAACTGTCAGCCTTGGTACAAAACACTAAAACAGATCCATATAAAATTGAACAGTAACTGTTCAAACATAAAAACTGTTCAATTTTATATGGATCTGTTTTAGTGTTTTGTACCAAGGCTGACGAAGAAAGCTGCATAGCTTTCGAAAGCTCCCATTAAATAAAGTAATAGCTGGTGTTCAATTATGTCTTCTATAACTATGCAACCGTCCCAGCTAAATAACAACATTTAAAATTACATAAAACGAACTGTGTAATTACAGGAAGTATTTCTTTTGGAACCTCCCTACAGATAGCATAACTTTTGGCGCCACATGTAAAAGACACCGAATATGTGTTTTGGTGCCCTCAAGTGTTTAGCTGTCACGCCTTGGTTCGATCGAGCAAAGGAAAGAAGGCAGCGTTGGACGGTTTTATTTTCAATGAAACACACTGATAAACATGTTTACTCTTGACACGCGTCATCTGGGCTCCCCGGAGCTTATGACTTGGATAGCATATCTTACAACATCGCTAAGCTCCCCAATCAAATCTCCAATCAACAATTTGCTAACACAAAAATACGGGCTGCTTATAGAAGCCTTTGGTCGACACATTCTTAACATTGGACGGACTCGTATGGTCATCCGGTAAGCACGCTACATTGCCCATGCCGAATAGCCTTCATAAATCTCACAGTTCAAATCACCATAGTCCTCCTGCTCAAAATACACAAACCCCCTCTGTCGGGCCCGGTCCCCGCCCAGCCTCTCACAAGGAGAGCGCGTGGGTGTGGTGGGGCCCGCCGTCACCGCCGTTCGCTGGGGGACTGGCCGGCCGGGTCTGTCCGTCCACGCTGTGACGCCTGTCCCTCCCTCCCTGACCTCCCCCGTCGGTACCGGCGGGCCGGACGCTGAACGACACCTGGTAGCGTCGTTTGCCGTCGAGGGGCGCCGTCGGCAGCTCGACGGTGTGCCGCTGGGCGCCGCCGTTCAGCTCGAGACGCAGCGGCCCCACCGGACCCGCGGTGTGCCCGGCCGAGGGTCGGGAGGCGGCTGACTCGATCCGCGGCAGCTGGGTGCGCCCCGGTGACTTCTGCGGGCCCGACTGGCCGGGCTTGTTGACTGTGACGCAGAGCGGGGACATGGGATCAGGAGACTGGCGGGGCGGGCAGGGCACCCTGGGGGATGATATACTGCTACCTTACACCACTGCTACCTCGATAAATACGGACATCAAGGCCGCGTCTTATGTTACGTGCATGCTTATAAACGAAAACATCAACACCACACCGTCCGTAAGGACGCACACTAAAACATTTAGAACTAAAACATCGTAACTGCCGCTCCTCATAACAAATGTGCTGCTACTATGAGAAACGCTTCAGCGACAGTCATCTGTTTTATGTACCCGTAATATATTGCATCGCGTATTTATTTATATACCGACTCACTTGTCTGGTCATGCCACCATGCATCAGTTTCACAGCCTATACTGCACTTACAGCACACTCCCCGCACCTGACTCCCTATTATGGTGACATTTCCCGCAGGGTATATAGGGCAGGCCGCGCGCCGACCGCGCCCCCTCCGCCGCGCCGTGGTACTCACTGTAGGCAGCGCACGGGACGCCCGTGTAGGCGTGAGCCGCGTGGTGGCACCGATACGTGCTCTGATGACAGTTGAGCGCGTCGGTGCCCGTCGAGCCGTGGTGGCGCTGACTGCGCTGTATGCGCGCCAGGTCATCGGCGCGTCGCAGACGACGGGAGGGGCGGGAGGGCGACTGGAGGCGACGCACCTGGTCTGTGGGGTGAGGTCATACGGGATCAAAGGTCATCCGGGGAAGGGATAGTTGCCAGTGGTCGCAATTACTTGATCAAAGGGAACTATTATAACAGCAATAGCTTCCAGGTCCCAAGACGCTGACAAAAAAAAAAAAAAAACAATAGGACTCGAGACGCAGAGGGCCCACCTGACCCGCGGTGTGCCCGGCCGAGGGGTGGGAGGCGGCTGACTCGATCCGCGGCAGCTGGGTGCGCGCCGGTGACTGACACCGCACTGGCCCCATGCTTACTGTTATGAGTACCGAATAGTATGTAAATACCTACATGGTTGAGTCTTTCCGACGCGAATAATACCGAAAGTAACGAGGGTATTCTTTTGCCAACTCCCAGCATTCACTGCATCATTGATATCAAATCGGCACGTGAAGCACCGTACTGGCGCGTGCAGGCGGTCGTGCGTTCTTCTAATCGTTCATAGATGGCGCTAGTATTTAACGCCTGACTGGTTATACTGTCCCGCAGTGCTTCACATGCGAAAATGCCTCAAAAGAGGTGCTCAGTGCTCACTGCTCAGCGCTCAGGCTCAGCGCTTGCTCAACCAACAGAAAGGAAAGCAAGCGCATGATGCCATGATGTCTGGCTGGCTTACTGATGATTAATTATGATGTTACTGGTTTTGGATTTCTCCCATCATCTCGGCTCTCAATTGATGAGGGGTTTACCCACCGTTCAGGTACTGTTCGTAGTCGCGGTAGGTGAGCGGCCCCGTGTACCGCGCCAGCCCCAGTCGGATCACCCCCAGGTTGAAGTTGTCCGACAGCCGCCTCACGAACGCCTCCTCATTGGTCCTGACTGCCCGCATCTGCACCCGCTTCAGCTCCAGCAGGTCCTGGAAAATGCGCTTTTCCGCCTGGAACCTACGGTGGGAAGACACATATTGATCCTCATGTTATCTATCAATGAGTTGGTACTGTATGCTTATAATGCATTTATAAAATTACAAGAATCTGCGATGTGAGCAGCGGACGTTGCGCGAGTGAGTGAACTTATACGAGTGCTGAGCTTGTATGTTCAATAAAGGAGCTTTGCTGAACAGCTTACTATAGCCAATTATGTCATGACTGGGGGTGGACACTTTCGATAAGAGACACAGCGTAAAAAAATATTCCGACCGAACTTATCCCTGTACGAAATTATTCCTGTTACCAAGAGTGACGCTGACGCTCTCGACTGACCTGAGCGGGTTGCCGGTGGCGCGTCCGGGCCAGGGGAGCACCTCTGACCCGGTCCTGTCCTGCTGCGGCCGCCCCAGCTGGGTCAGGTCCCTCTCCAGCGTGCCGACTTTGCCGGCCTGCGCGAACCGCTCCTGATCGGGGGGTTTCCGTCGCCCGCGGCCGGTCCTCCTCACAGTCTGGGAGGGGCCTATGGGAACCGGCAGGCGAGAGCGGTGACCCGAGCGACCCGCGTGGGTCGAGCCCGGGTCACTCCCTGAAGAGGACTCGCTGTTTATATCGCCGTTAGGCTCACCTCCATGGTCACCGTTCTGGTCAGCATCTTGGCTTGTGTTTGAGTTCTGCTCTGTGGCGTTTTCGGAGGGGTTATGGCGATGACGACGACCAACAGAGGGTGATGACTCAGCTTCGGTGGCATTTCCATTGTTCAGACGCTGATTGGTGGAATCAAGAGAATCTTGTTTAGAAGGTGGGTCTTGGGAGCTTTGTTCGGCGTTGGAATCGAAGGATTCTGCCTTGTGGTGATCTATAGATTTATGTTGTCCGTATGAGTCGAGAGAGTCCGTCTTGCGAGGTGAGGTTGAAGGTTTCCCTTTCGACTCTTTTGAAGATGATTTGCTTAGGGACTTAGACGATGGTAACTTGTCAGATTCTTCTTGCGATTTTCTTGATTTGCCTGTATGCCGATCTTTACCTTTATCTGCGGCACCTGATACACTCTTTGTTGTTGTGGATTCTTTGGAGCTTTGCTTTTTCCTTTGCTCGGACCGATGTCCATTGGCTGAAGCTACTTTGTTTTTAGAGAGAGAACCTTTTGCATTATGCCTGTCTTCAGTCCCTTCGTTGATGTCCCCATTTAGATGCTGGTCAGAGGGCTCGTGATCTGCAGGGTTTCGACTTGATTCAGAGTTGGTAGGTGGATTTTCTGCTTGTGTTGGATCTTCAGCCTGTTTCTTTTTACGTCTTTTGGAGGATGTTATTTCTGCTGCATTGGTATCTTTTGCCTTTTTCCGTGGAGATGATTTCGCTTTTGTAGACTGTGCTTCGTCGCCATCTCCAGCATGTTCCAGACTTTCATTTTGATCCTCTTCTTGAGATTCTCCGTCGGGACTGTCCACAAGTTCACCAGAACGCATGCCACTATTCACGCCGTTTTGTAACTGACTTTTGGTCTTACTGTTACTACCATCTTTTGCCACTTCATCACCTCCGTTTGTGTCGTAACTCTCAGTGCGATGCACCTCAGCTGTGGTGGTAATCACCGCTCCTTTGACGTTGGTCTCTCCGCTACTGTCTGCTCTCCGCGGCGGCACGTCTGACACCGAGGCTGCCTCCTCCTCCGCTCGAAGCCTCACGACAAACTCCTCACTGGCGATCCCCGAGTCCATGCGAAGGGAACCCTCCTCGCCGTCTGCGGCAGCGCCGGCCGCGTGCACCACGGCCCCAGCCTTCATCCGCACCAGTCTCTCCTCAGTGGGGCTGAGGCGGCCGCTGACACCCTCCTCGACCACCCGGCGCCGGGACCTGACCCCCTCGAGCTCGTCCTCCGGTCCGGACACCAGTCGGCCGCGCGTCTCGCCGCGGCTCCGCCACACGGTCCGCTCGTCCGGGTCGTCTGAGGAGTCGTAGGACTCTGAGCGGGGCCTGCGGCGCAGCGGGCGGCGGCCGCGGCGCCAGTGGTGGCGCCGGCCGCCCGCCTCCGACCACCAGCGCTCCTCTGCGCGGCTGTGCCGCAGCGCCGACGGCCGCTCGGAGGCCACGCTGCCGCGCCACGAGCCGTCGTCGGACGGGTCGCTAGAGCGGTGCCGCCGCCGCCGCCGGCGATCGGTGCGCCACTCCCAGCCGTCGCCGTCGTCCCGGCGCCGACGCCAGTGGCGGTCGTAGCTGTGCTCGCCGTGCCGCCGCCGGCTGCGGCCGTGGCTGGCTGCCCAGGCGGCACTGTCGCTGCTCAGGTGTCGCCGGTGTCGCCGGCCGCCGTCGCTGCTGTACTCGCCCTCGCTGCTGTACCGTCTCCGCCGGTCGCCCCTGCCGTCCCGCTGTCGGTCACGACTCCAGTCCCGAGCGCGATCACCGCTTCTGTCCCTGCCCCTCCGCTTCCTGTGGTCTCTGCTCCGCTCCCTGCTCCTCTCTCTACTCCGCTCTCTGCTCCTCTCCGTGCTCCTTCCATCACTCCTGTCCCTACTCCGCTCCCTACTTCTATCACGGCTTCTATCTCTACTTCTCTCTCCTCTCTCCCTGCTTCTTTCTCTGCTCCTCTCTGGCGACTTTTCACTCCGTCCTCTTCTGGACTGATCATCACGCTCCTCGTCTTCCGTTTCGTACCTCTCATCAACATACCGCGTATTGTGCTCCCTCCTCAACCTCCGCCTCACTACTTCCACGTTTTGCACGTCATCTTCACTCTCCTCTCGAATTTTCAGGGTGCCCGGATGACGCCGTCGCGCGCTGCTGTCGGTCGGAGGGTCGCTGGGGTCCCGGAACTGTCGAATATGCACCTCCTCGGTCTCGTGGTGATGCCGCTGCCGATGCCTGGACTTGGGCTCATGTCGACGTCCCTTGGAGCTGGAGTCGGGAATATCGAGGCGATCGGTCATCTCCACCTGTGTGTGAAAGGGGTGAGAGTCAGAGATGCCACTGATCTACCGGCGAATGTTCTGCGATCCGGTAAAGTCACACACTTATGAGAGAGGTACACACTTTCGGGAGTTATACGAGAGTTGTACTAGAGTTGTACGGACAAACAGCGAATCGAGCCTCACCAAACGATCAACGATCGCCAAATGTCCGACGGGATGTCAATTACGGCGCGGTTTCAGCGGAGACCGTCGCTCCATTCGACTGTTTGATCGATTATTTGGTGAGTGAGTGATCGGCCTCTGGCTGCATTTGGAGCTGTCGCGTGATGGCGGACAGTCTGACAGGACGCCGCCCCAGCTGCGATTCAACGCACGCGGCCGGAACCGATACACAAACGGATGGAACGGTCGGTGGGGCGGCTGGTCCAGTTGGGATCGTTGAGATTTAGAGCAAAATGATATACCTAAATGCAAGCTAAAAACGATACGTCAGAAAATCGATTTCAGCATTAGAATGAGGAACTGAAGTGCCTATAAGTTGTCTGTAAGTGATCTTCCGGATATCAACATGGGTTAACCCTCGCATGTGTAGGGGGGTCGGATGGACCCCCCCATGGTTTTTCGCGAATAACTCGCGTAAAAAGCGGCCGATCGCGACGAAACTTTCAGTACTCTCACATTGATCAATTTTACACCTACCCTGAAACTTTCATGACCCTGACCCAAATGACCTTTGACCTGTGACCTCTTTTCCGAGACCATGTTTGGCCGGAATCGCGATTCTGCGTATGTCGGCTCGCATTAGCCGCGCGTTTGCAAGCTTTTCGTGGTTTCAAACGTTCAAACATGTGATTTGCTGTTGCTTCCATGCATTAGGGTGGGTGTCAAGGTCACCTGAAGGTCAGGTCAGGTCATTGACCTTTGGTGACCTCGGGTGACCTCGGTTAACTTTTTCGAGCTGTACATGTTTCTAGGCTAGTTTTTGGAGCTGAATTCGAATTTAGCAACCATTTGAACATTTACGAAGTAGTTTTGGTGCCTTCGTAACATGTTACGAAGCTGTCAGAGGCGGTTGACACGTACTACGAATACCCGTCACGACGCCTACTGGTTGACCTGACCTGACCTGACCCGACCTGGTCTGAATGCTTCAAGACATCATCTGTGATCAAAACTAACACGATATTCGTGATCAGCACCCTGAAAACCCCCTTAGCAGCCACACTTTACGACTTTCTAACAGGTCCCGATTTTTCCGACTTTGGGTTATTGACCTGACCTGGAAGGTCGACCAATGACCTAGGACCTTAAAAGTGGGTATCATCGGCTTCCTCTCGTCACGGGCAACACGCTCGTTTTTTCCGCGAAGCTCTAGCTCGATCAGGGGCCAAACGGCAAGGGAGAGGGGGTCCAACCGACCCCCCCCCCCTACACATTAGAAGCTGGCAAACGCCGCACACATGCGAGGGTTAAATCGCTTAGGGCGCGTAGCCGTCAGGCTCAATGGGCTAAATCGCACCGTTCTTCATCCACCGACCTGCACGCCCATGTGTTCCGTGCTGCGACGGTCGGTCTGCATCCCGCCCTCGGTGACGTCACTGGCGGCGCGTGTGACGTCACCGGGGGACGGCGGTATGACTCCGACGGGCGCCGGTAGCGGCGAGCTGGCGGCGGTGGTGATCTCGGAGCGTCTCTGGGTGCCCGGAACGGACACAGACTCGTCTCCGGAGAGGTGCAGGTAGGTGTCCGGGGTGACCACGAACGCCCGACCCGTCTGCCCCTCCGGCAGGGCGCCGCTGCTTGGAGGGCAGAGACGGTTAGTTAGTTAGTAAGTTAGCTAGCTAGTTTGGTGGTTAGGAGGATTCGGTTAGACAGCGAGTGATATTTACTTGGTATATACGTCTACAATACTTGCATAAAATGCGTGCATGTAATTGTAAATGCAAGCATTTGGTGTATTGCATTGTTGCGATGATCACCATCATCAAACGATTGCCAAGCATTCTATTGCATTTATTTTTATGGTGATTGTTTTTCACTTTCGGTGTAAAATGGTGAGGAAAATCGAAAAAATAGACACAATCGTTTCACTCCGTTTCGTTTCCGCGCACCCGTGCCGATGCGTCACTCTTCTCTATATTCCTTTGCTCGTCCCTCCCCTCGTCCGTCACTCACTGTTGCAGCGCCTTGACGAGCGAGCTCTGGTCTGTCAGCGTGCTGGCCGGCGCACCTCCGTGTAGCTGCAGGTACTTGGCGCAGCTCTGGTTACCCCGGTACAGAGCCGAGTCCAGCGGCGTCATCAGCTGGCCCTTGCTGGAGCGCATGATGGGGTTGACGTGCGCGTGAAGGTCCATCAGAACCTGTGAAGAGGAAACGACGGGCTGTTGACGTCCGAGGACTGACTTTGATGTTGGAACCGACGACACCCCAGTGCAGTATACACAACTGTTATGGCAGAATCAGCTTATAACACGATTGACCTGCTCACCTTCCATTTCCAAGCATTAATTTCGAAGAGAAGAACTTGTGTGTAGTACCGATTACGCTCTCACCTTGCACATTTCGATATTGTTTGTAATGGCGGCTGTGTGCAGGGGACATCTGCCGTCGTTATTCGGCTGGTTTACCGCTTCCGGGCGCTGCTGTAACAGCCACCTGCGGCAAACGGTGGACGTCAGTCACTAAAAAGGAATGCTGACTTTTTACGGTTATACCGCGTTTATCCAAACTTGATTTTACAGTTGAAACCGTTTATCTAAACTAAGAACTTGGCATACGTTTCTTCCGAACAATTTACATATCTTCAGTAAGCTCCAAGTGTTCCTCATTCTCCTTACCTGACGAGTTCCTTCCTGCCCGACTGGACTGCCTCATGCAGTGGCTGGTCGCCCTTCACATTTCGGATCCACAGGTTGGCCCGGTGACGACCCAGCAGCTTCACCGTCTCAATCTGACCCTTGGCGGCCCCGCAGTGCGCCGGTCTGCACAGCGTGAGGGGATAATGGTCACGGTTGTTATACAAACCACTTGGACTATGCAATTCCTTATTTATTCAGAATGTGACGCGCGCGTATTTATAAGCATAACTTTAGTGAGATCCGTACTGAAACCGACGTTCGATTTCTATGCCCATGTGTCTGTCTCAGCCCTTACCAAATGACCATTGATCACTGATCAGTCCTCAGATGTGTTCTCTCCAGCCCCTCTGTCACTCACGTGCGCCCCTTGCGGTCCTGCCGGTTGGGCTCTGCCCCGCTCCCCCTCTGTCACTCACGTGCGCCCCTTGCGGTCCTGCCGGTTGGGCTCGGCGCCGCTCTTGAGCAGCAGCTCGGTGCAGTCGGCGTGGCCCAGAGTGACGGCGTAGAAGAGCGGCGTGCAGCCGTTACCGTCGATGACGTCTACGTCGGCGCCGCACAGCGAGATCAGCGTGTCGATGCAGTCGGTGTGACCGCGGCTGGCCGCGCAGTGCAGCGCTGTCAATAGAGCGAGGTCAAGGCAGGTCAGGACGGGTCAGGAGAGAGGACAGAGGTCAACTGTGTCAGAGCGGTCAGAGCCAAAGGCAGTCACTCGGGTCATAATTATGTAGCACTTGGCAGGTTTAACGAAAACAAAAACTGCGGGTTGTTCTTCTGCACTTCGCCCTCTGTCTTTTCTTACAGATTATCCCGTCCCTTTTTTCTAGTAATTCCTTGCTTTCTCACTGTGAACCCCGTCCTTTTTCACCATTGAACCCGTCCTTCTAGCCGGAGCTTCGTCGTCTCTAACCGGTGAGGTCGTCCTGTATTACCGGCAACCCCATTCTTTCTGAACAGCAGCCCCGTCCTTTCTCACCGTTAAACCCGCCCTTTCTCACCAGTGAGTCCATCCTTGTCCCCTGCCGACACGCTGGCGCCGCTGTTGACCAGTGTGACCAGAGCATCGGCGCTGCCCGAGGCGCAGTACGTCTTGGACGGACGCGTTTCTGCAGAAAGAAGCAATCGGGCTGCATGTCAGGATGGAGTTTGGTAAGGGTGATGGAATTGTAGCTCCGGATAAAATGGTTTTACTAAATAATTACAGCAACTCTAGCTATTTCGCTATCCCGCATTCTGCAAGTCATTCTACTAAACTAACTGAGCTATTCGAATTCTGCAAAGCTCTCCCATAGCAGCGAAGCTGTCCTCAACTGTCTCATCAACCATGTTGTCTCGCCACGACTGTCAAAACCCTCCAAGTGAAAATGCTTATTCGTCCCCTTTTCTTCCATCATCACTAAATTCAAATGTAAAAGTCATTCTACCATTCAGCACTATTCCGAGCCCGCCCACTGACCTGCGGACGCCGCCCAGAGCAGTGGCTGTCGTCCATCCTGATCTGTGACCGTAACGTCCACTCCAGCGTCCACCAGTTTCTTTAGCGCCGCCAGTCCCACGCGCACGTCCGTGGCCATCTCTGTCCAGAGCAGAGGTCACGGGAAACGGTTGTTATAGGGAGAATAGGAGTTCAGTTGAACTTAGGGGGAAACACACACAAAAAGAACATATTGACGCATTGGTAGATTCAGCTCAGTAGTTTGTCAAGCAAAAGGCATGAAATAGGCCGACGGCCTCTCCATCCTGTCTTCGCCGCGCATGCTGTGTGTAATGAGGATACTGAATGATGCTGTGCCGCATTACATTTGAGCGCTGCGGCACAGTCTACCATCCCAGTAGACGTCGGCGGAAGCCTGTTGTGCCGTAGCCGTGCAAACTGCAAGACCACTCGTCGTTAGCATCACAATAAAGGGTTGAATACATACAGAATTAATGTCTTTGTGATGTTCACGAACTGTTATTTGGCTACTCGTGACAAGTGCCATTTGAATTATGCTATCCAGTGATGGTTTGTTTGCATGCAAATCTGAAGAGTACCTTTGCTCTCATAGCTGTATTTATACCCAGCACGCTGGCATTAACACTCTAATCGCATTAGCAAACATGGCTGGTTCACCAGAATTAAATGACGGGTATGCAAAAGTAATATGATTCTCCTAGCATGAAGTCGCGCATGACAATGCTCTGGTCCTCCTACTCCTCATGACATTTTTTCATGAATAAATTACATCAGTGATTTAGTACCAGTTTATGCACCATTCAGCCTATACAAAAATGTTATGCATTACACAGCTATATTTTACCGGAGTTGGGTCCACACATCTGTGCTGCGTAGTGGACCGGGTAGGCTCCGTGGATGTCTGGGGTTGACGGGTTGGCCCCTGCCTCCAGCAGAACGTCCAGGATCTCCAGCTCTCCGCACACTGTCAACATGAACCATGGGGATGGGCGAACAATAACCTCCAGGATCTCCAGCTATACACACTGCAGACAGACAAAACATGTGGACGGGTGAACAATAACTTCCAGGATCTCCAGCTCTCTACACACTGCAGACAGACAAAACATGTGGACGGGTGAACAATAACGTCCAGGATCTCCAGCTCTCCGCACACTGTCAACATGAACCATGGGGACGGGCGAACAATAACTTCCAGGATCTCCAGCTCTCTACACACTGCAGACAGACAAAACGTGGACGGGTGAACAATACGAGGGGGTATCGAAAAGTTCTGATCATCACCACGAATGAGATGTGATAGAAATTTGATTTTTTTACATGATGTTCATTACTCCTTTACAAGTCACCACACACGATCGAAAACTTATTGCATCGCGTCTTGAGCTGCCTCAGGCGGTCATTGTAGGACCTTCGCACTGTCCCGTAAATCACTGCTCCACCTCATCAATGACGTCATTTCTGTCCTTAAATCACCGGCCATACTGTGGATTCTTCATCTCCCGTAACAATCAAGAGTCAGTTAATACCCGGTCAGGTGAATTTCTTAGATGCGGTAGGATTTAATGTCCACATCATGTTCTTTCTTCAATCGCAGCTCAGGACGAATGGGCGGGAGCGCTGTCGGTGCGGATAAAACATCTTTCTTTGGCTTTTTTTGCGGCGATTCTGCTTGAGGCCATCTCGCAACTTCTTCAAAAGTGTGCAGTGCTGCTTGCTTATCATTATCCGACCATCATCAAGACAGTCGGTAATGACTATCCTACGCCAGATCCAAAACACTGATAGCATTGACCTTCCATATCGGCTTCTGCATCTTCGCCTTTTAAGAAGGACAGATGTGCTGTGCTTAAATTTCTTGATCATCTTTTTGTCTCTGGATCATGCACATAGACCCAGCATTCGTCACAAGTCATCAAATTATCGAAGATGTCTTCAATTTCCTAAAAAAGGCCTAGTTTTGATTTCGAAGGGCCAAGACGCATTTTTCTCTTGAACAAAGTAGGCACACGAACTTCTAAGCGGGCTGACTCCTTTATCGTCTGTAGTTATTCGCTGATAATATTTTCAGGCACTGCCAGCATTGAGACCTTTCTGTTGCAAAATCATCTGAAAGGTCACACGACGATCTGTAAGGATGAGGTCCTCCACTTCCTTCACAGTCACCACCTTGTCAGTCACTGGTAGCCACTCACTTCTTGACTCCCCTGCAAGGGCCATGCAACCAAGTTGAAAATTATTTCTTCGGTTTCGGTAAGTGCATGAGATGGGCTTTCCTCGCCATAAACTGATTTTACGTTCTTGATGTATTTTCTCAGTGTGATACCGTTTCAAATCCATTAGTTGGATGACGGTTCGGTCCTCAATGGGCCCAATACTCATCTTTTTTGCTTCTAAGTCTCTCCTACATTAGATAAAACCACTTCTCAGGATTCTCTTTGCGGTAGCATTGTTCTTAAGAGCCAAATATAATACCAACCAAAAATCATCAAGATCGGTCTACATCTTCTAGGTGATGATCATAACTTTCCGATACCCCCTCGTAACGTCCAGGATCTCCAGCTCTCTACACACTGTCATCATGAACCATGGGGACGGGTAAACAATTGGAATTACATTTACATGACACTTAGCAAGGTGAGCTCTCCATACTCTGCCGACAGACAAACCATGGGGACGGATGAACGCTGCAGCTTTCGGGCACAAGAAGGGTGGATTTAACAACAGGCTAAGTATTATGCACTTGATTTCGACGTATGTAGAGTCAAAGATAGTCATAGTTCAATGGATAAATATGCAGGGGCCGATGCAATGCGTTTTTATATATCATGCCGGAGAGGCAAGAATGGCAAGTTCAATGCCTTATAGACCACGTATAGGTAGGCAGTATACTAATTAAGGAATGCCTGAGTGATACTGATAGCACAAAGGAAGGAATGAAGGAAAGACATGCTTGAATCATACGTTAGGTACTCCCTCTAGTCGTTCCAGGTCAACATACGGTATCAGGTATGTCATTTTTTTATATTTCACTATCTTAACGTCATCTCTGAAGTCTCAACACCATCATCTTTTCTAGGAACTTCCATGAATGTCTGAGTTACAGCATCGTGTTTTGTGTCATTTGATTTCGCTGATAAAGAATTTAGTGAATCACATTACCAATTTGTGAAGTTATGCGGCGTTATACAGTCGTGTGGCGATCTAACGTGCCAATGGCATGACTCTTTGCACCGCAAGTCTCCCTGGTGACATTTATCAAAGCTGCATGCCTCTATTGCTGCACAGGGGTCGAAGCTCTTAGCCACTCTATGAGTGTCCCATGAGTAGACCTGCAGTGACGGTCCCACGCCAACACAAAACGTGAGACCCAGACAGTCAAGGTCATGAAAACAATTACAGCAGGTCGATACATGCCCCGCTCGGTCAGTCAGCCAAGGTCAGAAGTCTGGCGGCGTCATCGCACGCTCTTGAGGTAAAAAATGTCTGCCGCTTGCAGATACACATTCTTTTGATAGTGAATACCCAAACTGAAATAGGTACGAACTCATCGTTTGCATGCAAAGGTTCATTGCACCATTAGACTTCAGCGTTCCTTAGACACGCAGTGGCTGGTCGAGTTAGCACTGAACACCTCATTGCCTTTATGTCTGTGAACTGCGACTGTGATTTGGCCCGAACACGAGACTGACACGAGTTCAAGGTCACCGCGTGTGTGGAAAATGGGTGATAGCCGCCGCCAAAGGTTAATAGTCGCTGGTTCGAAGTTACAGTCGTCACGTTTCGACTCTCGAAAACGACGCGGTGATGTGACCAAAGTTGATCTGAATTTCTGAAACCAGTAGTATTCTCTCATGGAAACACGAGTAAAATGAATTTGCGTGCCATAAAACAGGTAGCTATGTGTGCAAGGAATGAAGGAAGACATTAAAAATGTTCCAAATTTTGTGCAGGTGTTTCAATTTCAATTGAGCAAGAATACTGATCACTAAAACTTCGCATCATGGACTGCTAATTAAAATGTCTCCAGCGTAGATCCCCGATATAACCGGCCCCGTCAATATAGTGCGCCGCTCCAATGACAGGAGGTCATAAGGTCGACCGGACAGCTGATTATTGGGTCCCCGGGCGAGGGTCAGACACCACGGCCATCAGACGCTGCGTGAGACGTATCCGACGCGGCTAATTGCTTTTCCCTGTGTGGCGCAGCGGTCTGTCACAGAGGAGACATTTCTGAAGGCTGCAATTGAAAACACGTCAATGTCATACCTAAGCCTTTCCAATGCCCGTTAATTTATGCCCACCTATAGCCATGCAATCTGTTGCATAGCAACACTGGTATAATTTGACCTAAATCGTATATGCGCTCTGAAATATTGTATTGAGAAGTTGCATGCAAATTATAAGGACTCTCCTCAAGCACAAGGCAACGTCATTGCATGCAGGACGCAGGTGCTTGCTGAAAACGATGATAATATAGCTATAGGCATCGTAATTGAACGTCTCCGCTATAAACGACTTATAAATGTATAATACCCTAGGAAGAGGCTGCTACAGCACTATGATTCCGACACGCAGTCTTTGTTCACGCCAGGCCCCACGGTGCTGTACTCAATGTCCAGATTACACGATACCCTGATTACTGAGATACCAGTTCATAACAGAAGTCAATTGCAATGTTATCCACGTCGTAATTCCTTGTAGTGCATGATATCGAAATTATCAAAATGTGACGCAGGCCAACTCAGTGCACCAAAGGGACAAACGTAACAGTGTGGACCTATTTGATGCTAACGCTGACTCAAATCACAGTAACTACTGTAAATCACAGTAGCGCACTGAACTGGACCGGAATTGGATGTGGTATACCAGTGGCCCAATGACCACTGACTTTCCCCATCTCCCAACGTTGGCCAGCGGACAGTTTTATAATCACTGGTGGCCCAGTGTACAGAGGTCTCATTCTCTCATCAGGGACACGTCGAATCAGGGTATATAGAACAACGGGTACACCAACGACGCGGAAAGCGCCCATTTTACCTGGATGAGTTACATGGTATATAGGTGATATATTTTTTGAATATGGAAAAAATAGAGTATTCTATTCTGACGAGTAAAGCCAAATTCATATAGCAGGTATTTTTAACCCGCGCCCCACTGGGGTCTGTGTATAACACGCCCTACTGGGGGGGGGGGGGGGGCTATTCATAGCCCCCCTCCTAACTCCGAAACTACTGGGCCGATCGTCAAAATTCAAACGGCGTCTGATAGCCCCGGAAAAACTGTCGAGCGAAACCTAATTTCATTGACCTCGAGGTCACCGATGACGTCACAGGTCAGGTCAAAGTAAAAATTATTAGCACTTTGGCTTGTTCACATTTTGGGCTCTGGCCGCCGTCTTACAAGTCAGATCAGGCTCATTTTTGGTTTCCACACTCGTGAACAGATACTCTAGATACCTTGAGGGTACCAAACTTGTACCTTGATTTTCAGGTCAGGGTCAGGTCATCACAGGTCACGAAAATATTATATTATGCGTCGGTCACGTGACACATGTTTTATGGTCCATTTAGGCCATAGATTTCGAATTTGATGTCGTCTGTGTCATTCGAGGTCATTTTGAGTCGAATTTAGCTTAGGTCAGGTCACTTTCAGGTCAAAAAAGGTCAAATTTCAAAGTTGAAATTTTTCAACAAAAAACATGTCTATCGGATGCAGTTTGAGCTCAGGAACACGATGGTGCCATTTATATTGGTGTACAGTAGGTCTACTAAAAAAGTCCCCCGCTCCAGAGGCGGCCGGCCGGCCGAACCCCCGGATTCCAGCCCCGACTCTATTGCGCAGGCCGCGGCAGCGACACGGGTCAGGTCGCGGCGCCCGGCGAGTGGGTCAGTTGGCGGCGGCCGGCCGTGGAGTGAGGACGCAGTGTGTGGGGCGCAGAGATGCCGCTGTGCAGAGGAGGGGAAGATAATGA